AACAAAATGTTCATGCTATTGATTGGCTGACCCTTACGCCAGTCACAAAGCTTCATCCTCTTGTTCTTGCAGCAATTTTTAAACTCTAAAAAAGTATAGTGAAGTTTTTTTAAAGGTATCAAACACATTTCTGAACAGGAGAAGCAAAACCAAAACATTTAACCGTTTGAAGGAAATTTGGAAATCATATATACCAACTCCTTCAACCTGATGCCCTCCAGTGTTTCTCTACAACTCCAGTCATGGGAATGAGAATTCAACCCTTCTGGAAGGTACACAGCAGTCTCCCCAGTGGCCTTCCATTTTCTGCTTAAATTTCTTCAACAAAAGGAAACCTCCAGTTTCCCAAGGCAGTCTTTTCCACTGTCAAACAGCTCTTACAGCTTGATATAGGGCTTGGCCAAGACATTTGGCTGACTAAGGTACAGGCCTACCTCCCCAGACTTTATGTACAGAAGCTGTGTGGCCAAGCATTTGAACCTGACTTGAACATTGGAGATGGGGCAGTGTCCACCACCCCACCTGAGGGCAGTAGTGTAGTTTAAGGCAGCAGACTGCCCGGCACATCTGGCCCTGACCTCTAACACCATGTCACTGCCCCCCCCCCCCCACTTTGGCATCTGTTGTCTGGGGAGGATGCTTCATTTTGCCTCACAGCAGGACACTCCCTAGTTAGGTAGCTTCTCATAATGCAGAAGGTGCTTAAGAGAACAACAAAACAGATGCTCCTTTAAGCTTGGTGGGATTGCTGGTTGGGGCAGGGAGAGAAAACAGCTTTGGATCTGGGTGCTCCTTTATAAGGCATTATAAAGGAGAAAACAGAGATCACTCCACATTTGGAAAAACCCAGACTGAGGATTTACCTATTTGAAAGATGTCAATGCATGGCCCAAGTTTGCCAGAGTTACAGCTGCAGTGGAGGCCCTAATTACATGTGTGAAGCACCAGGCAGGGAGGCTGCCTCTGCCCCACCTAAGTGGTACCCCTGCCTGGCTGGGTCAAAGGCAGACCTTGAAGGCCCCAAATGCCACCCTCTCTTAGCAGCTTGAATTCATTTAAAACAAATCCTGAAAGTAGAAAAGGTAAAAGGCATTCTGGAAAGCCATTCTGTAATTTTGTGCCTTAAAAAAATAAGAACCATGTTTTTCCCCTGCAGTAGGAAACTTTACAAATAAATGGGCTATAGGAGTAACCCCCTGTGCAAATTATGAGGAGTGAAGGAAAGAGGAGGTAGAATAGCTGCAGGATTGTATAAAGAAAGGCAAAAGGGAACATGGAAAGGGTTCCTTGCTCAAGTGTGCAGTAGAGTTATATGTCTGCTTAGGGCTGCACTCATCTTCCTTTTAAATACCAAACACGGAAGAGCCATTTCCACAATTAATGGAGGCTTAACCTAGACCCCTTCTTTGCTCTGAGGCAGACCACTGCTGCCTTCCTTGGTTTCTCCAGATGATCAGTTCAAAGGATTTTAGCTTTGTTTGGATTTTCCTGCAAGTTCGTATTCAATGGGAAGAGACAGCAGGGAGGGCAGAAGAGTCTGCTATGGGTGGAGGGCAGCACAGGCTCTCTGGTAGGTCACCTGCTTCACACAGAAGTTTCAGGCTCAATCCCCAGCATTTCTGTATTGGGCTGGTAAAAATTCAGCCTGAAGTCCTAGGGAGCGGCTGCCAATCAGTGTTGACAAGATTGGGCTAGGTGGCCTGATGGAATCCTTAGGAGTAAACATCTGGTTGTACACACAATTTAGGAGATGAATATGGTTAATGCTTCTTCCTTGCCTACAGTCACAGGCAGACTTGCCCCGGCCTTTCCAAGCTAGTTTAAATTCTGGGGTGGATTATCTGCTTGACCTGTGGCATTCAAATATTCTGGGCTGATCCAAGGAATAGCGCTATCCCAATCCCTACAGTCTGACTCTGGGTGAGGCAACCTCCTGTGTTCCACTGGAGAGAAAGAAATAAAAACAAATGGTTGATGATATGAATTGCAGCACATCAGAGTGGAAGTGTTTAGCCTGTGCAGGGCGATTCTGAAGATGAAGGATTCGTTTTAATATATGCAGAGCACTAGTGCTACCCAATGACATATATTTGGTGGTGGCTTTGGGGAAATCATTTGGCCATATTTTACTTGTGTTAAGGGGATCTCTGAACACAGAACTCCAGGAAGGGTGACTTTGCAGCCTGTTTGAAAAAGATGGAAGGAAGACAGATGTCAAACTGTCTCAGTCAGGGAGGCAAAATCATGGTATCTACTGAAAGAGTTGTGCTAACAAAAATGACAAACAATTAATTGTGTTCTTCGTGTTCGTCCCTTGATTTGTAGGAAGGAAGAAAGAAAAAAGGAAAGAGAAAGAAATTGGGTGGGGGGGGGAGAGAACAAACTACGCCAGGACAGCTGGCATTGCAGCTCTGTCTGCCACAAAACAAGGAAGCAAGAAGGGCTGTCAGTCACAGATGGCTTAATTAGTCCTCAGAGGTAGCGTAATTAGACCCTTCCTTCAGATCCAAGTTTTTTTCAGTAAAGATCACTCCAAAGCTAATAATACATAAAAGAGGGTAATGAAAAGGAAACTAAGAAGGAGAAAAGTGAGGAAACGGAGGAAAGTGAAAGAGGGAGAAAGTACTTAAGCAAGAATTTAGCAGCATGTAATTATTTCTTTCACATTTCCTCTTATTTGCTGCTGTAACCCAATTCTGGTGGATGTTGTACTGTTGGATGTTGCAAGCAGGATGGATGCAAATAGCCTCTCTTGAAGTAGCAGCACAAGTAGACCTTGATAGGCAAAGCCTGTTTTCCAGGGGGAGATGTTTCTGAGGCCCAGTCCCTTCTTCCCACAGAGCAGACAGGGACCCTCTCCCTGGGTGCTTGCTAGATGTCACGTGCATGGGTAGCAGTCATCCAACTCATCTGTGTTGCAAAATTCTAGTAACCCCTGATCCTGCCTGGTGGTTTTGCAGAGGAGACTTACAGGATGGAGGGAGCCTGAAGAGAAAGCAGCAGTGACTGTGGCCCGTTTCAGGCATTGCAGGAGCAAACACAGGTGTGCCACTGAACATAACACTCAACAGGACCTGTACCTGTACATGTTTGCAAGCATGTATCAGTTGCATTCATACATCAAACTGTACACTCAAAACTGTACACTCAAAACACCTCATTAGACATGTCTAAGGCAGGGCTTCTAGAGCAGTTGTATAAAATTTGTGTTAAGTTTATCAGAAGGAATAGGAAAGACTGCATTGGTGTCTTCTTCAAAACAGTTAAAGAAATGTGATATAAAATATAAGTAATCAATTACATTTCAGTCTGGTCTCATAGAGCTGAAGCTTCCTTCATCAATCACTTAGTATTTCTGACAGTGATTAGATCCCTCTTTTTTCTGCTCAGCATGTGAAATTCCACAATGTGTGGTATTAAAGATGTTTTGGCTCATGATTTCCATCATCCCTAGCCAGCAGAGACAATGGTTATAGTGAGGGATAATAGAAGTTGTATGTGAGAACATCTGAGGGCCACACCTGAGGCTTTTTAATTTCCTGGGCTTGCAGCTACCCTAGGCATTTAAAAAATGGCAAAAGAAGAAATGTCAACCCTTCAGGAGTACATGGAGACTAGCAAATTATAGCACATTTTACATCAGCCTTTCTGTACCAGCATTGGTTCAGTCATTGATAATGGGAGTTGGGCCTCTGTAACAAACATGCAATAACTTCCAAATTCCACCATAGTTCTGCCTATCATCTCCCTTCCTGTTCCTCCTCTTCTACCTCCAAATCAGTTTTTAAAATATTTCACAGTGAAATATAGGGTGATCCCTGAACAGAACTATTTGGCAGACTACCTGACACTGATGACCAACTCAGGAAACCTTGTGCGACTGCTTCATGAGGGGCTATTGTAAACAATGAGCCTGTACTTTTTGCTTTTAATTCCCTCTGCCTTCACCTCACTGTCTATAATCAACTATCCATATTTATTCTTGAAACTCTTAATAACTCTTCATGCATCTGATAAAGTAGATTGCCCTTAATGAAAAATTATGCCATGATGAATTTGTCTATCTTTAAGGTGCCAGAAGACTCTTTTTTTCCATAACTGTACAGCTACCCCTTTGGAACTCTCCCTCTCTCTCTCTCTCTCTCTCTCTCTCTCTCTCTCTCTCTCTCTCTCAGAGCCCATTTCATTTCAGTGAAGGAGTTTGACATTTTGAAGCCCAAAGCTCACTCCCTACCTAAAGAGGAGTCACTATGTCCTACAGCCAAGATGACATGGCACGAGCTTTGAATTTGGCTGTTTTCTGATATTTCTTTTAAGATGAAGCATGAGTCATATAAGGCATACAAAATTATGCTTGAATAGCTGAATCAGGAGCCAAAATAACAATATTCAGTTCACCGGGAATGATCCCCAAGTAGGATTAGAATGGCTTTTTGCAGGGAACTTCTGAATCACAACATAAAAATGATGACAATTTCTGATACTTGACCCAATATCAGTGTTAAATGGTGGTGTCACAGCAGCAATAAGTGTGCAGTCAGCTAACAAAAAGAGAGCCCGTATGCAACAAAAGAGGAGAAAATGTGTGTGTAGAGGGATGGTAGGGGTAGGGGTAGCGGGCATGCTTTACAGTTTGGATCAGTGGGAACCAAATCGTTGTCCACTGTAGAGACTGTTCCAGTAATTGAATCATGTGTTTAGCAACATTCACTTTCCTTGCTCTTGTAATGGAAGACAGCACAGAAAGATACTTATGGCCTATAAGGAGTTCATGTGAAAGATGCATTTCTAGAAAAATGGCCACCCATATCATTGATATTCTATAACATTCTAGGGCAAAAATATTCTAGAATAAATGACAATGAAGTTCTGCAAAATCAAAAGGGTATTTTTTATTACAGGTTAAACTGTATAGGTAGCCATGTTGATCTGTATGAACAGGATTGAATGAATAAATAAATAAATCTCAAATCCACACTTGGACAATATCTTTATTAGGATCAACTAAATGTTGCAAAAGACTGTGCAAGCATTCTTAAGGACTTTAAATCAGGCTTGTTGGAACAGACAGCAAGAAAGAAACAAAAAGTCCACACATTAGGCCAGATGTCATGATCTGGAGAATAGTGCTCTAGGCTAGGGCCAGTGTGATCAGCATGTGTCTAATACAGCAAGTATGACTGAACTTCAAAAGTAGAACTACATTTTTGTTCTGTTGATTAAAAAAAAACACTCCTTTTCTGACTCCAGTAAGATTTGAGGCTTGACTCCTAGAAGGATTCAGGAGAAAAGAAAAAAGTTCAGAAAAAAATTATAAATCCCAGCATGCCTTTTCTGTCTAAGATGCATACAGTTACGCTCTAATTGTTCACAATCCATCACATGATGGACTTGCCCCATTTTCCTAGTAAGGGATGCCGTGGTAGCCACATCAGCATGTGCTTCTCTTTGTGCTGTCACATCTATGCATATCAGTTGGACTGGAGACCTGGGCATCCAGTACTGTTGGGAAAGTGGCAGACATACATGCAGTGATTTAAGAACTTCACTTAAGCTTTACTGTGATATCTGTGCAAGCTGATTCAAACTTTTGGATTGTGCATTTTGAAATGCAACCATGCTTGTGAGAAATATTTATTGCTGAAAGCCATAATTAGTATTCTAGCGCAGATTTAAGTTTTAGCTAAGAAAAGGTGGCACAGGTAATGGGTGGCACAGGTAATAGATTACTGAATAATTAACAGGGAAAAAGCCCATTAAGAAAATAAGTGGTTGTGAACACAACTTAGCCAAAGGAAGCCTGACACCTGCAGTATGGCAGCAGAGCAGCTACTGCTTTGCCATTAGGGTGGTCATTTATGAATTGCCCCCCAAAATAGGAAATGCCCCACCAATTAAATAAAATGATAAAAACAGGCAGCAATGTGCATAAAATGTGCATATCTGATTTACAAGACTTGATACAAACTTAGAAGCAGCTGCTATACTTGACATAGAAATACAATACATCTCACTGTAGTGGACTGACCAGCAATAGGCTACCTTTTTATGTTTCTGGAATTGGACAGGACAGCCCTTCAAATAGAGGATCACTCTCTGTAAAGGAAGACATATGGCCAGGCTGGCAACCTCTGAAGGACAGAATCCAAGGTGCAGTTCCTCCAGCAGTGCTGCTGATTCTCAGCAAAGTGCAGCCTCTTACAGGAACTTCAGGATGCACCCATTCCATGTTTAGCCTTCCTCCAAAGACATAGATCCAGCCATAAGTTAACAAACTTCACGTAATTCTGGTAAGTCTTAAGATATGATGAACTGTAAAGTCTGGTCTGATTGTCATTAACAACAATACTGAACATTTTCTGCACATGATCAGTTCTGCTATTGTTTAAGTGTATACTCTCTTTGGTATTCGGCTCAGGACAGCCAGTGAGCATTGAGCAGACCCAAGCAGCTTGAATACTAAGATAGGTGAACCTGAGGAAGATCAAAGAAGAAAAGTTTCCCTTCACCTCTTCCCCTCCACAAGCAGCCCTCCTTGCATTGTCCCAAATCCAGTCCTCCACAGAGTTTTTCAAGGGTGGAGGAGAAGGAGAGGAAAGGGAACTTTCCTTCTGTGAACTTTCGTAAGTTCATTTATTTTAGATCCATGCATCCATCTGTTTCCAAAGGAAAGTCTGGCATTGCTTGAAGACACACACAGAGAGACAGAGAGACAGAGAGAGAGGGTTGAAATGCTCAGCTCAACTGGGACAACTGTCAGAGAAGACACAGCGGGTCAACGAGGGAAGGATCCAAGAAACAAGGAGTCAACTGACAGATTTTCCCAGTCACCTGCTGCCCCCTGGATAGCTATTGAGAGGAGGGCCAGGCTGCAGGGCCTTGGACTTGGCATCAGGATGCATCTATGATGTGCTCATGCTGGAGAATGGGTATGGTCACACACTAAATGTCAAACCTTGCAAAGGAAAACCAACTTGAATGACTTCCCATCCAGCAAAACTGAATGTAGGGTCTGTAAAAGCTATGGAGTTAATATATGATAACAAGATCATATTTGGTTCAAACCCCTGATGCAATCATCCTCAGTAGAAATGGAAGGGATCTGCATATGAAAATAACTTTTATCTCTACTTAACCTACTGATGGGCTTGTTGATTGTTTTACTTAACTGATCACTGATGCTTTATTAATGGCTTCATTGTATTGGTACTAACACAACTCAGGGTAGCTTGTTGGAAAAAAAAAATCTCCGAGGAAAGCAGTTTGGATTGGGACAACATGACAACCACTGCTGCCCATGGTCAGTTGTGCTGTGTGAACCGGGTGAGTATTTTCCTATTTCTCCCTTCCTGTTGAGGCTTCTGCAACTGTATCAGTTGGGTAACAGGCAGTAACTGGCGAGCTTGTATCACTGACTCAGAATGTTGGAAACACCTCAGGGCAGCAAACCTGGGACACTGGTTGACCCCAGCAAATATATTTTCCTCTAAAAACCCTTTTTGTCCTGACAGTTTCCATTTTTAAAATTATTACAAACGTACAAAATCACTGAAGGTTCCTAAGTGCTGTGCAGGCTTTCGGTCCAATAGATTCAACTCAAAAGAGGAAAGCAAGCAAATGCAGGTACCAGTTCTTGAAGCTGCATACTCTCCAGGGTGCCATGTGATCCAGACAGTTGGCTGCCCTGTCTTGAGTACTCAATATACATGCAGCCCAGAAGCTCTTCAAGCAGAGGCCAGAGGCCAGCATCTGCCTCCCTTCAGCTCTACAGCCGCACGCAACTGTCAGATGGAGCCCAGTACTCTTTCTGGCAGGGAGGGATGACGCAAACTCCCTGTAGCTGCTCCATCTCTGGCTCTTGGATGAGGCCAGGTTGGTCTCCCCTTGATTTTCATATTTTTCCTGGGAGGCAGGGGGCAACCTCAAAGGTGGCCATGTCTCCTATTTTTCCTGAGGGCAATTTCCTGCTGGAAGATCTGCCAGAAGACTGCCTTGTATTTTCAAGGAAGCCTCAATTTGAAGGACCAAAGAGAACCATCAAAAGGAAAAGCTGGACCTTAAAGCTGCCCATCAACAGCACTTGGACAGCAGACTGAGGAAGGCATACAGGTCACTTTATTTGAACTTAAATTATAACAATTGTTTCTGGATGCAGATGGGTGCAAGACCTCCACCTGCCCAAGCTCCTCAGCAACTGGTGTATGCAAGCAGGCCACCTCTGGTGAAGGAGGCAGCACATAGTCCACATTAATAGCCATCACCACTTCCCTTGGCAGCAAATTCCACAGTTTAACTATACGTTGCATGAAGAAGTATTTTCTTTTATCTGTCCTTAACGTCCCACTAATCAGCTTTATGGATTGACTCCAAGTTTGAGTGTTATAGGTGAGGGAGAAAAAAATTCTCTCCATTTTCTCTACATCGTGCATTATGTTAAACATCTTTATCATGTCTCCCTTTACTTTCCATTTTTTTCTAAGTGGAACAGGCCCAGTTGTAGCCACTCTTCATAGGGGAGCTGCTCCAGCAACTTGGTAATTTGTTGCCCTTCTCTGTACTTTTTCCAACTCGATAATGTTCTTTTCCAGGTTAGGTGACCAGAACTGAACACAATATTCTAAGTGAGGTCACACCAAAGATTTTTATAAGAGAAGTAAGATTGTGGCAGTTCTATTTTCTATGTCATTCCTAATTATGCCTACTATGGGCTGTGCACTGGGCTGAAATTTTCATCAAGCTGTGCATCAGTACCCCAAGATTCCTTTCTTGCTCAGTCACTGCTAGCTCAGATGCCATCAGTGTATAATTGAAATTAGGACTTTTTGCCCCAATATGTTTTATTTTACACTTGTTTATATTGAAATATATTTGCCATTTTGATGCTCATTCTCTCAGCTTGGAGAGATTCCTTTGGAACTCCTCACAGCCCTTTTTGGCTTTAACTACCCTAAAAAGTGTAGTGTCATCAACTGACTTGGCCTCTTCACTACATACTCATGATTCCAGATCGTTTATGAATAGGTTGAAAATCATTGGTCCCAATACAGAACCCTGTGGGACTGCACTGGTTATATCCCTCCATTGGGAGAAATTTGCCATTTAATCCCACCCTCTGCCTTCTGTTCATTTACTGATCCATGAGGACACCCCCCTCCTCGTGGATCATCAAGACCCCCCCCCCCCCTTTTATTCCACGACTGCTTAGCTTGCTCAGGAGCCTTTGGTGACTGACTCTGTCAAAAGCCTTTTAAAAGTCAAAGTAAACCATACCTACTGAATTGCTCCTGTCTATGGGCTTACTGACACCCTCAAAAAACTCCAATAGGTTACTGAAACAGGTCTTTGCCTTGCAGAAGCCATGCTGATTTTTTTCAGTCCAGAGACATTTTTGTTTGTTTGTTTGTTTGTTTGTTTGAAAGAGTGCCAGCTGGGGCTCCCACCCTTCAAAGGTGATAGTACTTTAAAAATTTCCCCTCTGGCCTGCCCATCAAAAACTCTCCCTCATTCTGATTGAGAGTGCTCTTGAAACACCTTGGAATTTTAACCACACCCTTATGCCTAACAGATCATTGGGAGAGCATGGATCTTGTGCCTCTTCTCCACTCCATCCTCCCCTCCCCCGGTTCTCCTGCAGTATTCCAGGAGAAACTGTAGGAACACTAAGATGCTCCCTGCACCATGACAAGTCAGTTAATGCTGGCTGTGGTTTCACTTTAATAAATCTATATCGCCTATAAAGGTAAAGGTAAAGGTTTCCCCTTGACGTTACGTCTAGTCATGCCTGACTCTAGGGGGCGGTGCTCATCTCCGATTCCTAGCCGAGGGAGCCAACATTTGTCTGCAGACAGTCTCCGTGGTCATGTGGCTGGCATGACTGAACACCGAGGTGCACGGAACACTGTTACCTGCCCACCAAAGTGGTACCTTTTTATCTACTTGCATTTGCATGCTTTCGAACTGCAAGGTTGGCAGGAGTGGGGACGGAGCAACGGGAACTCACCCCGTTGTGCAGATTCGAACCGGCGACCTTTTGATCAACCAGCCCAGCAGCACAGTGGTTTAAACCACTGCACCACCTGCCTATATATCTATATATTTAGCTTGTGAAAGCTACAATTAAAGGAAGCTTTCCCATCCTCTTCTGGGGCATTTGGTAAATGGCAAAACTGAGTGGACAGTTTCTACTGAGTGGACAATTTGGCATGGACACTGCATACATGCAGACAAGGATCACACCCTTACTTATTTTAAGAACGCTGCCACAGTAATGATTGCAGTGACTGAAAGGGGCATAAGTGAAATGTGGACACAAACAAACAAATGTGAACCTTTGGGTAGAAAGGCATGGCACAAATCCGCAATATATTCACTGTATACTCCTGTTATGTGATGTGCTTTTTCAAATATGCTGGTCTTTCTAAGTAGAAAAATGAGGATTCAGAATGAAGTCTTGCTTCCATCCTAATGATTGGTCCACTCTGCAATACAGATATGCACTTGGTCTTGGCACTGTAGTTATAGTTTGTGAGGAGGTAAATAATCACTGATTTCCCATTCATTGCTTCGAAGCCCCAGCTGGAAATGTAGGAAGGAAGGGTGGCTCTCACCCTGGATAAACTTCCCCTATTGAATTTCTGCCATGCAGCTGTTAAGGCAGGCCTTTCCACCTGCAAAAGGCCACTACAGGAACAGATGAACTAAGCTTTTGATGCTGGTTCTTTATTCAGAAAAAATAGGCATGAATTTTTAGCAGCAACTAGAGACTTCATTTCTTCAATGATACTTTCAGTGAAAAATGAAATCCTAAACAAGGTTATTTGGATGTAAAGTTATTAAATCAGTGTTACTCATAAGTAAGTGCATATATTCAGGATCAAAGCATTAATGGAAAAAATGAACATATTTCTTGCTGGAAGAGTTTCATATGCAAGATGGAGCTTGGAATCATACGATCAGTTAGAAGGGAATTGAGGACTTACCTAGTCCAACCCCTGCTCCGCCTATATCTTCCTGACCCCAGTGCTGCCACTGTGAGTTGATGAGCTTCTGACTGGCTTCTTTGTGAGGCCTGAATGATCAGGAGATATTTTAGCCCTGAGCATTTTTCATATGAGGTTGTAGTGATCTACAGCTTCAGTGAGAACACACAGTAAATCTGGATAATTCAAGCTTTAAAATCACCGGGGCCTTCTACCAAAATCTATATACCACTTGTGAGGATTATCATTAAGGCAAT